CCTTTGGCTGGATTTTTTCTAGTTATGTCTCGCCAACGCAACCAATCTGTTACAGAGAATATCATTAGAACCCATAGAAAATACTGACCTCTTAAATGTATAGATATTTGTTCTAACCAGAGAAGTGGCAACCTTTCAGTGCCTTGTGTTTGCTTAGGTTTCCTTCACCCTCCTAAAAAGAAAAAAATAAGCTCAATCATTATCTAAACATACTAGCTAAGGTACTCTGGGGGTTATGATTCAGAAAAAGCTCTATATCTGGGTAAGTTTTAAAGTATACCCATGTCCAGATTATGGACATAAACGTTTTTACATATTCCAAATAAGCGGTAAAAGATGTAAAACAAACCATCACTGAGCTCTCTAGCTGTTTGTACTGTGAAATAATTCATCCTCAATAATAACGGAGGCAAGTTGAGGTAGTGTTTCTAAATCAGCTTTTGAGCACCAGCTGTTTGTTTACATTACATTAGTAGTAAACCACCAACATGAAAATGGGAATAGTGGGCCCCCAAGAGGTTCTTGTCATATAATGTGCTAATATGCACAGCATATAGGCTAATTATGGCAGGCGATGTTTACACTCTCCTCCGTTGCCGGTACCTCCATCTCCTCATAGTCTTCTTCTGGGTTGGACATCTTTGGTCTCTTGATTGGCCGGACCAGGGTGATGTCTGCACACAGGAGTTATATTATCTTGGCACAGGACCTTGCTGAGAGCTGGGCATGGATTGCATACTTGTTCTATGACTTGGCTATAAATAAAGCTTAAAAGTCAACTAGCAGCACACAAAAGCTTGAACGTTTCTGTGTTCATGACATACGTTAAGTTTATTCTATTGGTTGTCCACTTAGATTCACCTTGAAAAGTGTAAATAGTTGTACCATATTTGCTTGCCAATATATTTTACTTCTGTTACATCTCCAGTAACTGGCAGCACTTGTCCTCGCCTGCTATGGTTTCATGTAATCCTATCTCTTTTGTACGCTTTACAATATTTACATTGCATCATATTAGCAAATATAACAAAGGGTGTCATTTGTCTTCTGAAGCAATAACTATGGAGGAAACAAAAGTGAAGAAACCAGAACGCCACAACCTAGCACAATAATTCGGTGGTAAATTGGAAAAGTGGTATGTACACTAATACACTCACATAGGGAGGTTCATAAGCGCTTCTTGAATAAATAATTAAGGAGAACGTAGTGCCATCAGGCTGGTGTGCTTCCAGTGGTGGCTGCGGCTTCTTTGTCTCATGCGACGAAAGATGGGGTCCTGTGACCGGTGGGAGGTAAGGACAGCAAGTGGTGTGATAGTGGTATGAGTGGATCCAAAGTAGAAAATAGAACACTCGCCCTTGATGCAGTAGCTGTCCGGTCTCATACGCGGAGTTCTGCTGGTGTTCAAAATGGGGTCGATTCATATATAGTCTTATTTATAAAACGATAAACTTATATGCCTCGCATGAACCTGCACCTCCTCAATATGATACATGATAATTAACCTAGTAGTTTATATGCAATAGCATTGGTATGCAACAGTGGTAATTATACATAATTACATACATACACACATTTAGATTGTAATCCCTCACGGGCAGGGCCCTCCTTACCATCTTGTCTTAAATTGTATTGTGACTGTAATGTCTTCCTTATATTGTAAAGCGCTGTGCAAACTGTTGGTGCTATATAAATCCTGTATAATAATAATAATAATTATATATATATATACACACATACATAAAACTGCGTGCGCCCGCAAAATCGCAAAAAACTACCGCACTGAAAATAGGCCATAGGAGACGCTTTTACTGCTCATCAGTTTAGTGTTATCAGTAATTAATGGCCCTAAAATTATTGTTCACACTCCAACGTTCGCGGTTATATGTAACGTGTGGCAAAATAGGCACAATCATTGTTTTCTCACGTAGGCGTACCCGACGCATATCTGCATGTGTATGTGGGGGGTGGAGGACTTAAAAAAAATTATTTTTCCTTTTTTAATTTTTTTAATGCTTCTTAATTTTTTTTAATGATTCTTTCATTTTTGTATAATTTTTTTTTTTTTTACACAAATGTTTTGCTTTCACATGGGGGGGGGTTTCTGGATTTTGGTACACGGGGCTGCTGTACCTGTTCAAGTTAATGACAGGATGACAGCAGCTGCATCTGTAAGTGACAATCCTCATGTAATCATATATGATTACATGCAATTTGGAATAGAGCCCTGGACACATACAAGAAAAAAAAAAGTCACAAACTTGCAAATCCAGCAGAGGCGTCCCCAGGGTCGGTGTCGCCCAGAGCAGCTGCTGGGTGTCGCCCACTGAGACAACATTAATCGTGCACATGACATCATGAAGCCCCCCCCCGCACCAAATTTGTAATGCTACTGCATCTAGTTGGTGAGAAATTTGGTAAGAAATAAATCTCAATGCTCGATGAACTGTATTGATTATAATGCACACTTGATCCTGCAGCCTGACAAAGGAAGATTGGGAATGATCCACAAGGCAAAGCCGCAAAACAACAAGAGTGCAAGGTACATGGGTCTAAGTTAGGGATGTTCAGATACCAAGTACTGTACAAGTACATGTACAGATACTTTTCCAGCTCCAAGACTAGACTAGAGAAAAATTCAAAAGTTAGGAGGCAGCTGTCATTTGTAAGGAGCACGCGGAGCTCCTGGGATTTGTGCATTCCTGTTTTTAATGCATTAGTTTTTGTAATAAATATATATATATAAGAGATGCACCGATACCATTTTTCCAAGTACTGATACTTGTCCAAGTACTCACAGATACAAGTACTGATAGAAACAGTACTGGAGTGTATAGCTGCACAGACTGTGTTCTCCTTTCTGCTTCTCTAACACAGAACATTTTCCTGCTTCTTTCCCTCTAAGTGAAAATGCATTTCCTGCATTTTCACAGAGTGAAATAAGACAATTTCTAGATTAGCTTGTTAGCTTATTTATAGAAATACTTTTATAACTTATACCTAGGTCTTGCTAGAAAGTGAATAAGCCCCCCAATGATGTGTCCTTCACATGCATTGTGAAATACAGTTAATTTCCTTGTTTTTGTTTGACAACTGTATTACCTATTTTTGTACTGGATGTAATTTCCTTGAAAGCCTCAAGCGACTGCAATTATACTAATTATTGTAATTATTACAAAGTTGTAATAAAATCAGCAGAAAATACCTCTAATGTGTCCGCTCACACCATCAAGATGCGCTAATGCATGATTGCTGGTGTGTGCTGATCGCACTGTTTCTTTTTTTTTTTTTTGTTATAACTTTTATTGAATGGTTACGCGTGACATTTTATTCTGTTCTATCGGCCGTAGCGTCAATGAGAAGGTGGTATAGATATTACATACACAAATTTGTACACGTAGATACACATCTAATGAGAAGTTAATGCCAGGACGATGTCATTCGCAGTATGTTTACTTTTCAGAAACATGGTCGTAGTATTTCTGAAATTGCAGGGAACGTTTATTATGTCACTTTTTAGGTAAAAGTGTTGTGAAGTGGATATTCTAAAGCTTCTCGTTTCATCATCATCGCCAAATACCGTAGATATGCTTCAGTATTGCCATACAGTACTGTGTGGTTTTCAAGAGCTGGTCAATGCTGGTTCTCTTTTCCCATTCCCCTTTCAGCAGCCCCATTTGCTCTACATTAAAGTGTTCTGTGGAGTTGAAGAACATTAGATGACGTGCGTGATGGAATAAACAAGTGATTGATTGCACAGCCTCCGTTCAGTTAGCAGCTAAGTGCTCTCAGTAGAACGCCAAGGCTGCTGAATAATGGATGAAGCAGAGATCCTGGAAGGAGCGGGTTAAGGAAACGGTGCAATGGTGGAACTACTTTTCACAACTATCAAATTAGAAGTTTGTGGAAGAAATCTTGGGACTCGATGTAAACATAAGCCAAAAATGATAGTTGATGAATTATGACTGTGTTGGGGAAATGCAATTATTATCCTTTGCCAGGATCTGTGAATGGAGAAACTACAAGTCCTGTCTGTCATGCGGCAGAGGGACTTGTAGTTCTCAATGCTAACCACACTTGTAGTCCACTGACACTTCCTCCCGTCCCTGTTACTGAAGGAAAATATATACTGAAAATATATATATATATATATAAAAAAATATATATATATATTTTTTTTTTTTTATAACAATTTTTTTGATCAATTCATGGCTTTAAAAACAATAGGAATTTAGTATCTCATCCAAGCATTTTGTGATAACAGTTTGATGCAGAAAAATTGGTAAAAGTTCCTCTAATAGTTGCAAAAGATGTTTAATACATTCTAGAGCTAATTTGAATATTGAATCAATCATTTCCTCAAACAGTGGAGTCCATACATGGTCATCATAAGGTTATACAGTTTCAGCATAAAAAGGTAAAGATGCATTTGGAGTTCTTTGCTTTTTCCTGTGTAGTGAAAATCTTGTTGGTTCTTAGTATTTGTTGTCTCCATAAATTCCTCTCACATGATTTATTGACATGCAAATGTCAAGGTTAACTCGAACTAATGCAGATTTGTAAGCTTTACAAAGTGCAGATCGGTGGCGTGTATGATATGAGATGCATTTGCCTATGCATCCTGCTGCAGCTCAATGTGCTTGCTCTGGAAAACTTTCAGGACCTGCATTCTGCTGAGTAAGCTCCTCCTAGTATGTGTTGGCACCTTACAACTCCCTGACAGCTGGCAAGATGACAGAAGTGCTGTGATTGATCTGAGGCTGGTATACTGAAGCTGTAGCAATGTTAATCACTGGCATTTAACATCTTACACTTAATCCCTTATCTCTCTATTGTAAAAATCCTTCACTTTATTCAAGCTTCGGTTTCCAACATGGATGCTGGAAAATAAGAGACATATAATAATTTCCTGTTCCTGATTTCCTGTAATCATTTTTCATGTTGTATGTAATCAAGTTCTATATACCCATGTTTCTGAATCTGGTGTTTGTGTGCTACAGTTACAGAATGAAGAGGAACCTGTAGAAAATCCCCAGGGTGCAGCAGATGCTCCACCTCCATACAGCAGCATTGCTGGAGACAATGCAGGTCAGTGAAATATTTTCTTCATTTCAGGCATGCTTTAGCAGCACACAAGCACGTGTGGGCTTACTTGTGTATTCAGCTTATTACTCTTTCAGTTATATGTAAAGAATCTCAGGCATTCATACCCAAGAGCAATGGCAGCATAACCTTTTTGTATCAAACCGGCTTTGTGACATAACTCCTACCACATTAGTGGGAAAGCCATTCATCTAAGTATAGCGCATAGAGCTCAGCGGAGTCTACTGTACTCTTATCCTGCTCTGGAACAGGAAGCAGAACTTTTTGGCCTGACATTGTTCGTCCACTAATGAATCAGCATCAGTGCACTATAAGGCCTGGTTCACACCTGAGCATTTTTCCGCATGTATCTATTCACGAGGAAGTCCATGGTCCCATTGCACTCCTGACCGCAAGATCCCTTGGAAAAAGTGGGTGCTACGGTAGTCAATGGGTGGCGACCGTCACAGATATAAGTAAAGGCAGAGACACCGGCACTCCAGAATGAAAAGCAAACCGTCTATTTATTGACGTGCAGCATAACAGGTATTGCAATGAACGTTTCGGGGTCGCACAGGATCCCCTTCCTCAGGCAACAGCATATGCAGTGCAGCGTATGCTGTATTTATTTATTACAGGCATTTTAGATCACATTTACAATGTATGCAGCATTTCACATACTGTATATGTACATCAGTCCCTGTCCTCAAGGAGCTTACAATTCAGTGACACTTTAGGGATGATTAATAAAATATTTTGCCTGGTGCATAGCTGAGCAGATGCCAGTCACATGGCACTATCATCCCTAGATGCCACTGACGAGTATAGGAATTTCCCGTCCGCAACATCTAGGGGCGATAGTGCCGTGTGAATGGCAGCCGGGAGGAACTTTTATAAGTGAGCCTCTTTGCTCAGTTACTCTGTATAATAAGCAAAATCCTTTAGTTAAAGGAGAACTATGGGGTTAAGGCTTTTCCCCATAGTTCTCCTTAGGGTAACGGGAGGACACAAACTAGTGTCCTCCCGTCACCCTAGGCTCAGTATATCGCGAGCTTCAGCTCGCGGTATACTGAGAAGCCACAGTATACCGCGAGCTACTGCTCGCGGTATACTGAGACGCTGCAGCTGAAGCAGATCCCAACAATTATGTCTGGATCCGCCCAGCTGCGTGAGTGACAGCTGGCTCTGCCTATCTAGAGGCAGAGCCAGCTGTACCCGCCCCCTACCCCGTCCGATCCGCCAGTCAGCGCTCACTTCTCGATCTACTGAACCGACCTGTGACAGTCTCATTGTCACAGGTCGGCTAGAACTATGAGGTGAGTGAAAAGCACTCACCTCATAGTTCTCCTTTTAAAGTTTCCTTCTTTATCCATTCTTTGTTGCATATTAGTACTGCTGATCTGCAGCATCTTTGAAGACACTTCTTGCCTACATGTATGCACTCCGGTGGTGGCTGCAAAGCATTTCCTAAGAGCTGGTTTCCTAATGGAGGGTATGGGTACTTGTCTTCTCAATTGAGAGAACATGTGACAGGGTGACATTGCAGGAAGACAATTGGGAGAGAAGGACAGAGCATTGTCACCCTCCAATAGAGAGTAAATGAACAAGGACCTTGGTCATGGCAGGATACAAATTTAAACATATTAAAATGACTTTTGGAATAACATTAAGCTTATGTGAGATTAGTTTTTGGGTTTACATAAACTGTAATTTAAAGAGTCAAAGAGGAGCATCTCCTCACCTCCACAGGCTTACCTTACCTGTGATTCCTCACAGCTTCTTGTTCTTCTGCAGCTGGCCCTGGGATCGGTTGTGTTGGTGACTCGGGAGTGGTGACTTTACTGTCCCGATCATGTGAGCGGCAGTTGGCTGCTAGTCACAGCGGAGCAGGTCACATGCAGCTTTATACCTCGAGTGGCCTGGTAATGTCACCTACTGTGCAGGGGAAAGGGAGCACAGCTTAATTTAACCATACACTAGTAGTTATTTTGCACTTAACCACACGTGCTGGATAACACCATATTACTTGATTCCTCCATCCATGCTAAACAGCATAAATGGGGTATCTCCTCTGTCAGGCTATTGCATTCTAACAGCCAGTGCCCTAAGCCGTCAGAATTCCAGAACAATAGCTGAAGCTGATTGGTTGCAGTCACTGGTTGACAATTGTTGGCCTGGCTCCTTGATTGGTGCTGACAGGGCCACTAACAGCTCGTATGGAAGCAGTTTATGGCGACTTTAAGGTAAGTATATGAGAGCCGGTGACTGTGTCTCTTTAAAGTCTTCTGTAGCAACAGAAATACATGTAACTATTTCTTGTACTTGTCTTTATTTCTGTGTTTTTATGTTAAACAGCATTTATTGACTACAAAGATGAGCCTGGTTTCCCCAAGCCACCATCTTACAACGTGGCAACTTCCTTACCAAGTTACGATGAAGCTGAGAGGACTAAGGCAGAAGCCACAATACCTCTAGTTCCTGGACGAGTAAGTGCTCTGTTTGTTAGTATCCAGACTCCTGGATATCCAGGACGAGTTGGACTTAAAGGAGAACTCTAATGACATATTCTGTGTATTCTAGGGAAATAGATACTTCCTCCTTCGAGTCTTCCTGATGCTTGCTGGCTGTGCACTAGCATGTGCCTAAGAAAATTCCTCACAGATTTCTATTTGGAAAGCAGATGTCTGATAGTCATTGGTAGCAAGTGACAGTAGGACCTGAAGGAGGCAGCAGAAAACATAGAAAACATAGAAGTCTTCAGTGCAGCAGTGTTAATGGCGAAGTATTGGCAGAGTAAAATGTACTCCTCCCAATAATTAGAGCCAGCGAAGGACACTGCAACTGTTGGACCCCGGCTCTATAGATCAAAAGCTAAGCGATTGTGTGACCACTGATCACTCAGCTCACAGTCTTCTCCCTGTCACCACTCCTGCCAGGGATTCATTCCTCCCCAGGGATTCATTCCTCCCCAATCTGTTCCTCCAGTGCTCATTGGTAGGACAGAGGGGGGAGAGCACAGCTGCCTCTAGAGAAGCAGAGTCAGCTGTCAATCAGGTAGCAGGGGGGACCCTGACAATGTTGGCCAGATTCCTCCTGCTTGGAGTGCGGCGGTGTGGTGTCAGAATATAGTGGGCAGTAGCCCACCAAATGCTAACTTTGGGTCCCAGGAGTAAATGAGTGAATATACTTCTGTCATCCAAAAGAGAAGAAAAGCCAAAAAAAAGTTTTGGCTTTAGCTCTCTTTTAAGACCCCAGGTTCACTCCACTCTAATCTACATACAGCCATTTTGTGGAGTTTTCCTTTAACTGCAGTGGTTTAAAGAAC